CCTGCCACAAAGCCGCTTTAATTTGGGGAGCAGCCTTTTAGGTGCTAATTTCCAAGGCGGCCTCTCCATTTCCACCCCCGCTTGCCCTTTTGCTCCTTTTTTTTGGGGGGGTGGGGGGGGGAAGGCTCCTTCGGCTCGGACCCGTTTAAAACGTGCCGCGAGTCAGAGCACCCCCAAACCGGCGGCTTTTACCCCAAGAAATAAAGCACGGCAGAGATTTTCAAGGGTTTTGCTTTGCCCTCCCCCCCCCCCCCCCCCCCCAACATTTGTTTGTCTTAAATACAGCTTTTTTTTCCTTGGGCTGCCACAGATTTTCCACCTCAGTGGCCAACCAACAGCCAGCCAGGGATTTTCATTAGCAGCCATGAGGAGCGCCGTCTCTCCCAGTGCCGGGCCTTTCTGGTGAGGGAGGCAGGCAGCAGCCTCATGTAAAATGCCAAACAACCTTCCCTGTTTTCCTTGGTTGCCAGGGTAGGAACTGACATTGTCCCCAGCCTGCCCCCCCCCCCCCCCCCCAAGACGTTGCCCCCAAGGACCTGAAAAAACCCGTCTCTACCTGCACCCAATTGAATTATTTTGCCATTTTGGCAGTTTTCACTTAGTTGAAAACCTCTTATTTTTAAAGGGGTTTGTGGTTTTTTGGTTTGTGGGGTTTTTTTGTTTGTTTGGGGTTTTTTCTTTTTTTTTTTTTTTTTCCTTCCAACCCCTAGTTCCCCAGTTCCAGCAGCAATTCCAGCTTGCCAAACACCAAAACATCAGTCCAAATATTTCGGGACAGGTTTCGCTCAGTCCTTCCCTGACTCCCAGCGGGTCCCTTTCTAAATGCTACAGGTTTTGTTACCCCATCTTTTACCCATTTGTGGGGTAAATAGCATCATACCAGGACGTCACGGAAAAAGAAAAACTTTGATTATTCTTTTTTTTTTCTTTTGGTTTGGTTTGTTTCTCCATTTGCTCATTATTACTGTTCGAAAACTTGCTGAAATACTCCCTTGCATTTTTTACCTTTTTTTTTTTTTCCCTAAAAAAGGAGTCTGATTTGCCCCTCTCCCCCCCCAAATACAGTCCAGTGGGGCAACTGGTTAAAAGGGGAAGCGGCACAAAAGTGTTTCGATCTCATTTCATAGGTGATCAGGTGGGCAATTTGATTTTACCCACCAAAATCCTGGCGGGCAGGGGTTTGGGGGAAGCAGCCCTAAAAAAGCAGCTGTGTTCAAGCTGGATCCCTACCTGTTGTGCCTTTTAAGCCAGGATTACCTGTAACTCCTGTCACATCCAGCCACCCGGGCTGAGGGCAGCTCTGGGAAGCTACAATATGGGCTGCGATTAATTTGGAGATTTCAGAATAATGCTGTTCTAAAAGCTACACTCCGGACAAAAATAGGATTAAGCTCTGAGGCTGTATATGAGCTAAAAGTGTTGAAAGCTGGAGCCCCCGATGCCACCGCTGGCAACGGGCAGTTTAAGTTTGCTCAACTCGTGTTAAAGTAGAAATATTTTCAATTATTCATCTTCATCGACTTCATATTGTCTTTTTTTTTTCGTCTTTTTTTTTTTTCCCCTCCCCTCACTGCTCAAACTGATAATTACTTTGAGCAAACAGGCGGCCGGTTCCCATAGAAATGCTTTAATGGAAATGGTCGAAAGTTCTCGTAGTAAGGAAAAAAAAAAAAAAAACCCCACCTTCAACCTCGCCACTATAATAAATAAGCCCGGCACTTTGATGAAAATTAACACGAGTTTTGTAAAGAGCACATTGGGGGATTGCAGTCAGGTCTTATCTTTAGTTCCAGTCAACTAGCAATCCTGAAAGAGTTTGCATCATCATCAGAGCAGGCCATTTGATAGGATTCTGCTGCTGAACCTAATCAATCTATGGAATACTGTGGCTGCGCGGTGTAACAAAGCTAAAATAGATTTACAAATGGGGTTTTAGAGGATAAGCTCCTCCACAGGATTACATATTGATTTTAAATATAAAAAGCTTATCATATAAACCATAACTACAAAAATAGTGAACCTATGCATAAATCCTTTTAGAAGAGCACCCACTTCAAACTCTAAGCCAAGAAGAAATCAAGATGTACAAAACCCGAAAGGAGATCCATTTCTCGGGCAGAAAATGAACACACCACCCCAAGGTGTGCAAAAAAAAAAAAAAAAAACACCACAAACCCGAACTTATCTTTTCTAAGGAGGCATTAAATCTCGAAGGGAAAAAAAACAACAAACCAAAAACCAACCCAGCACCAAGGACCAGGCGGGAGGGGGACCCGCGGCCGCGGGAAAAAACAACAACCGCGGAGCCAGAGGCGGCACCTTGCGCGGAGGAGCCGGCGGGGCCACCCCCGACCAACCCAGACACCTCTAATTTCTTATTTTCCCCCCATTTCGGGGTGTGGGGGGGGATGATTTCGGGTCTTTCTGGGGGGGGAGCAGCCGCAGCCGCGGCGGGGAGCGCATCCCAGGCGGGGGAGGCAGCGCCCCAGCTCTCCCTTTCTTATCTCTAGGGCTAAAGGGGGGGGAAATCTGCCTTTTTATTATTTTTTTTTACCACCCTCGGTCATTCCGAAGTGCCAAAAGGCTCCCCAGCCACCCCTGCCTCTGTCACACCATCCTCGCATCACCCAACAGTCGGGAGGCTGATGCCTTTTGCAAGACACTCTTTTTTTTTCCTCTCTTTTTTTTTTCCTCTCTTTTTTTTTTTCTTTTTTTTTTTTTTTTACTTCCCCCCCCGCCCTGTCATCAACCAGCTCAGTAAATCGGTTGATAGATTTTTAAACAGCACAGTCACGCGTGGAAGAGTTAGAGCAATTTACCAAAACAGTAATTATCACCTTTCAAAGACTTTCAAAGACTTTTTTTTTTTTAAAGTTCCAGTTCGGGTTGGTGCGTTCTGCCTTTCTTTTAGACAAACAAACCGGTCTGTTATATATATATACATATATCTATCTTTTTTTTTAATTTTCTTTTTTCCTGCCCATATCTTTCAGGTTTGGAATTGGTGCCGGTAAAAAGGGAGATTTGTCTTTTCCACTGTTTCCCAGAGCGCAAACGCTCATTAGCAATCAGCTAAATGGCCTGAGAGCAGGCAGCGCCCGGCAGCCCACGCTTCTTCGGGGAAATCATGTTATAAATGGGGTGGTTTTAACCGAAACATCCCAAAAAGTGCATCTTTGCACCCCAGCATATGCCGGACACAGAAAGCGATCCAGTGCCGACACACACACGGACAGGCCAGGTGTCACAAACCTGTATTTTGAGTTTTCGCAGGCATTTTCTTGGGAGAGTTTCTCCTTTAAAGTGCTCTGTTTGGTTGTGTTTTTTTTTTTTTCTTTACGTAAAAGTAGATAGCTGCTAAAACTTCTAGCAGACTAATAATCTTATTGAGGGTTAACATACTAAATGTGGGCTTTGCTGTATGAATAAAAAACAAAAGCAAAATTCTCCAGCACGTATGTTTTCTACCTAAACCCCTGTTTACCATATGACCAGTAAACGTGCAAAAAAAAAAAAAAAGAAAATAATAAAAAAAAAAAAAGAATAAAAAACAAAAGCAAAATTCTCCAGCACGTATGTTTTCTACCTAAACCCCTGTTTACCATATGACCAGTAAACGTGCAAAAAAAAAAAAAAAGAAAATAATAAAAAAAGAAAAATAAAAGAGGGCCTTCCTGCTTTAGGCATCTCTCTCTGAACTTACAAACAGAAAAATGAAAAAAGGAAAGATTTTTGTTCAAGTCAACACGTGAATGGCAAAGGCTACCAGACATTCAAAGGCTGCTGCCAGGACCTTCCAAGACAGTAAAACATATGAGGCAATTAAGCATTGAAATTTCGGATTTAAATCCAGTATCTCTTAACTCCTCCCTCTAGTTTTAGAGTATTTTATGTTTTACATACGGCTCCCAGTTAAACTGTCTCGTCTCTGCAGAAAGCAACGTATATATTTATGACCCATGTTTGCCCAAGACCAGTGAATATAGGCTTATGCAAAAAAATATAACCACAGATGGAGAGATATGAAAAAACTACCTGAAACCTGCTGCTTTTTTTTTTTTTTGCCGACAAACTTAGGCTCCCAGTGAAGTCTCCAAACTAATTAGAATTGATTTATTATGGATCAGGTACCTTATCAGGTGAAGAAAGAAATTACCATGGACAGTCAAAGGGTTGAGAGGTCAATACAGAATAGCAAAATCAATTTGCATTGATTAGACAAAAGGTCCATTTTACAGAGCCCAAAGGATTAACTTTTAAGCAAACATCTTTGAACTATCAGGCAGCATTTGTGACTGAGAGGTATAAGCGGTGCAGCATTAGAAAACACTTAAGATATTTAAATAAGAAAATAATGCAAGCAATGGTTTAAGCTATCGGGATGTTTATTTTTTATTATGAATCATCCCCAGGATTATTGTACAATTCACTGGAAAGCCCTATGGAAAGGATGCGATTGTTGCATTTATCCTGCGTGTCAATCTTCCCACCAGCTTTTCATTCAGGTAAAAGTGACTAAACTGGGGAGAGTCGCAGAGAAGGGAGAAAAATCTGTGCGAAGGATCCCACTAATCCCGGGGCTGCTTGTGATGAAATGTTTACTTGGCAAATGCGGTGTTTTACCACCAAAACTCATGTGAAATTTTTTTTTTTTTCTTTTTTTTTTTCTTTTTTTTTCCTCTTTCTCCCCAGCGAGCTACTGTTGTTAAACCAGACCTGAAACCCTAAAAGAAAGGAGGCTCCCTTCTGCGGGTCGCCTCTTCCATCCTCCGCGCCACCCAACGCAGCGCAGGACAAGCCAGGAGAGCATTACTACTGCAACAACAAAATAATAATAAACCCCAGACAAACATTCCTTACCTCCTCACCACTTTTTTCAAAGTTTATTCTGAGGACACCACGCATCTTGGACTTTTTTTACACCCTCTTTCCCCCCCCGCCAATAAAACTTCAGAACGGGATTGCGGACCCAGCGTGATTTACTGTGGTCCTACCACTTGAAAGAAGGTGAATAGCAGCATTAATTCTAGACTTGGGCTTCAGAGAAGCCTCTGTGGCTGGTACTTTCAGGTGGCCGCCTTTGGTGGCCAGCACTTTCCTTCCCCTGGCAGCCAGGATGGCTCTTACCTTCAATGGCAAGCATTGCTCTCAGCTCCCGGTTCAGCAGCTCGTAGCGCCTTTCTAGGTCATGTTCTTTTTCCCTAGGCAAGTTGCAAAAGTTCATCAATATGTTAATTACTAAATCATTAAACACTTAAAACAACCTTTAACTTGCATTGATTTTAGGACTCATAGCTGACTTTTCTCTTTAACTTTAAGCCACTCCAAATAAATGATATACACAAACTTAAAACCTTTGTGCAGGTGGCACAGTCAGGAGCGGGCCCTTTTCATTTCTGTAACGTTGGCTTTAATTCCTTCAGTTTAACTCCATTGTGCTACAGGACGTAATTATTTCATATTCACCCTCGGAGCAGCTGTTGTGGAATGTCCTAAGTATAAAACATTCCCCGGGATCTAATGAACAAATTCCAGCATCGGCCTATTCACCGAGATAATAGGGGACTGGAAGTATTATCCCATATACATTCTGCCCTAATGAATAATGAAAATTAGACACGGGATTACAAAGCTTAATATTTTGAAGGTAGGATCTTCTGTCAAGTTCAGACACGGCGGGAGATGGGCGAGCGCAGGCTCTTCCCAGGGAAGTATGCCGGCATCTACACTAGGTGGCAATACTGAAAGAAATATAATCCAACCCAAAGAAGCTGGAGAAGCAGTGCCGAGGGCAGAACGCCCCTAAAAAAACCCAAAACCTTCTCCCTCCCTCGCCGGTGGTGGCCAAAAAAAGTTTATTTGTCCTTATTCCGCAGCATCCATCGGTGCCACCATCGCAACGGCGAGCGGGTGGCTACCACCCTGCCAGCAGCCCCGTGCTGCTGGACCAGCAACGGGTTGGAGGATCTCTACAAAGCAGGTAACGACTCAAAATTTTGCTTTCTCCCCCAATAGTCTTCCCCCGGCAGGTCTGAGGCATGACCCAAATCTATTTGCGCCTTTCTAAAATGTCGTTTTATTCTACTGTTGGGCCTTTGAAAACGTAAGTGTGCTTAACATTTCTTTAATTTGGTTTTTTGGTTTTTGTTTTTGTCTTTTGGGCTGTTTTGGGGGTTTTTTTGGGTTTTTTTTTTTGTTTTTATTTGGGTTTTTTTTTTTTTTTTTTTTAGGGTTTTTTTTTTTTTTTCACCGCTCTAGCTAAGCCCAGCTCGTTGCCTGCTTCTCATTTTCTAGTCCGAAAGATGAGAAAAGTGAGTTCCTCGCTGTGTCCCACAAATCACCCCTGCTTCTAATTTCTGAGGCAACGTTCCTGACGTCTAATGGGAAGAAAACAAAAAGGTTCTGCATCCTCCTGCCGGGTAAATATTCCAGGAAAACATCCTTTTGTAAATACCTGCGTCCGTTGGTACTTACAGAAGAGAAAGCTGGTTCATTCGTCTGATTAAGGCGTTCTTCTTGTTAACCAGCATGAACCACTCCTGCATCATGGCCTCCTCTTCCTCGGTGTTTCTTCCTGCAATCGGAAGGATTTTGTTATTTTGGGGGGCATTTTACAATGAGAGCCACACGTTTCCACTCGGGTGGTGGAGCACTGGTCCCCAGTGCCATCGAGCATCACGCGGGGCACCCTCGAAGGGTAAAAATACCACCACCCATCCCACAGCCCAGCACTGCTTGCTCTATCCATAAATCTTTGAAAGTGGACTTTATTCAGCCTACATTTTAGTGTTCTTTACCAGTCTGATACCCCCACCTAAATAAACACCTTTTTTAAAAAGTACTGTGTCTTTTAAATCCTTGTGGGAGAACTATATTGTTGGCGTCTTCCCAATGAAACAAAAAAACCACCCTTGTTGCTGGTCATCCCAGGCCTCCAAAGACAAACCCAGTCCTTGTGGGCAACAGGCAGCCCCCCCAGTGCAAGCCCAGGGCAGGAAGGATGATGTGGTGGGCATCAAAACCACTGCAGAAGAGCTGATATCCCTGAACCCTTCTCAGCCTCTCCGTACTTATGGCCACTCTTCAAGACGAGGAGCTGGGAAGAGCCGTTCCTCTCTTCACCCGCGATCAAACAGACCTTGTGCATGAACACAACTCATTTTGGGGTCCAGGTGCCAGAGAGTCCCCATGTGTGTACGCATAGACTAGCATCCCTTTCCCCAGCTCATGATTGCGTCCCAGGCAGGACGAGGACCTGGACCCTCCATCACTGCAGGCAATGCTACGCTCTACAGGACTCCTGTTGCCACCATCAGGCCACGTGAAGGGAAAAGGGGACAGATGCCCAGGAGGCTCCTGACTGTCCTTTTCCAAGGGTTTGCTCAGCCCAACCTGGCTCTGAGCTGGGGGACCGGGAGAAACCTCATCCAAGTCCTTTGTGGAGACCTCACCTCCGTGGTGACCTGCCATTCCCACCTCTCAAGTTGAGTCGAGGAGCCAAGGCTACATGGTCCTCACTGAGTTATGACACTCCCACATTTCCTACTGGTCAAATTAATCTGAGGAGAAACTAAGAACAGTGGCAAAGCAGCCAGAGCTGTGACTCCTGAGCACTCCTCCCAGCTTCAAGGCTGCTCCACCATGAGCTACGTTTCAGCACCTTGTGTGGGTGTTTATTTTTGTCAAAATTAGGTTGACGGTTGGACAAGATGAACTTTAAGGTCCCTTCCAACCTAGAAGATTCTGTGATTCTGTGAATATGGGGACAAAGACTCGTAGTGATCTCGCACGGGTGCTGGAAGTGAATTCTTTGATGTTTGTAAAGGGTTCTGAAGTCTGGGACGCAAGACGCTGCACACGGGGGGGGGATGCAACTCCCTTGTTGCAGAGAAGCAACTTCCAGCATCTGAAGCTGGAAAGACACCAGAAAAAATATTGGTTTGCTCTAAAAGCAAGCTTTCAACTTCTGGATGGGAGCGTTTTGAAATGCTTGCACGTACGTGCCTGCCACGCGCATGCTCCCACCCCAGCGCCATGGTAGTGTGCAAGCCCAGATCTGCACGGAGAACCACCTCCTCACCCAGCTATGACCCTGCTGCCTGCAAGGGGAGGTCACCGGCCTTCTCCAAACTGTTCGATCCACCCTCCCGCCCCTCAGCGTGGCCTCTGGGCTTGGTGCCTCCTGAGGAGGGAAGGAAAAGGAGATGGAGCTCGGGGTGGAGCTGGTGGATCGGCACCGTAAGAGAAGGTCATGCCGTTGGCCATGCTCTTCCTTCTCAACCAGACATGGCCCAAACATCTACCCATCACCCTGGGGAGCTCCTGGTTGATGAACCCCCTCGGAGGGGGATAAGGGCGAGATGGGAACATCCTAAGTTCCTTAGGACAAAGTTAGGTTGACGGTTGGCCAAGATGATCTTCCCTTCCAACCTAGAAGATTCTGTGATCCTAAAGCGGGGATGGTCCCCCAGCCTGTTCCCAAGCAGAAGCAGCAGGGTCCGGCTCCCAGATGATGGAGCACTAAGAGAAGACATCTGTGACATAGAAATGCTCTCCCTCAAGACCTGAACTTCTGGGGGTTTTTTTGGGGGGGGGAGAAAATATTATTCCACTGCATTTTCAACAATATTCAGCAGCTCAGCCCTCCCCCAGAGAGGATTAAAACTCATAGGTACACTTTGCTGTCCAGTTACGGATCAAAGGCATTGCTGGATTGGTCCATCAAACAGGGTCTGCTTTTGGGAGGAGATGACAATCATACTGGAACGCACCAAGCAGCCGAAATTTATTTGGGGAAGGAGGAAAAAGGGGATAGATTGCCTTTTTTTTACCCCTGCAAAACCAGCAGTCTATTCTGCGACACATGGGACCCATCACCAGAACACCTTCTTACAACCAGACATAGGTGGCCACGGTAACATTTTAATCCATTTATGGCCCTAAATTTGTCAGGTTTTGGGGCGGCCTGGGATCCCTGGCTAAAAGATGCCATTATGAACACAAGTTCTTGCCACATTTCATTTTGCCCTGAAAAAAGAAAAGAAATGTTTCAAAGGAGTTTGGCTTGATGGTGGGTCCGAACTTGAATTCCATGGCATGGAATCTCAGGGGAAGAACATAAACTTAAGGCACAGCCTTCTTTCTATTAACCCGTTCCTCCTAAATAAAGTTATTTGCAACATATAAGAAGAGAAAAAAAATAAAAATAATCTAGGTAAAGCTTAGAACTGTTGAGTCAGACCCAAACAGGTGCCTCTTTTGATATTTCCAGGCTGCCACCGTAGCACACGCAATATCCATCGACCAGGCCGGTTTAAAAGTGAGTTAACAAAGTCTTGATTGTTTTTACAGGATTTTTAATCTGTTTTTGTATTCGCTTTAGGACCCATGTGATGCCCTGACACCAGTCATGTGATAGCGGCTGCGATAGGCACAAATCCCCGGGCAGCAACAAAAGAAGAAAGAGTGAAAAAAGAAAAAGCTGAGAAAAAGCTTGCAATTTGGAAAAAGGCCAATCGTACCCCGGCGAAGGCCTTTTTGATCAGTGAAATGACACATGTGTGCAATATTAATAGCGGTCGATGCTGATATTTTATTTGTTGACCATCAGCTTTTAAATTCTTGAGCACGGAGCTGAAACCGATTCCTCCCAGGCAAGCAAAAATAAAGATGAACTCATATATATAAGAATTTTAAATAACTCTTTTGAGCAAATACACTACATTTTTTTTTCCCCCTTCTTTTTTTTTTTTCTTTTTTCCCCTACTCGGTGGAAGGATGCAGGGAAAACACTTTCACCAAGTAAAAAACTGAGTGTTGTTACTGGAGTGATGCCGCAAGCTAAACTCACATTTACAATTTCTAAATTAAAAAAAATTTAGGAGAAGCCTCTCTTTGACACAGTTTCACTTGGTAAAACCCTGCTGGTGCTGGGCTTGTTTTTGTTCCCGCTTTCCAAGTGTAAAACAAGTATTTCATTGACTTCCTACAAACGCTTGGGAAATCAGAATTGGGAAAATATCTGTGTTGTTCTGGGGGAAAAAAAAATAATAATAAGGTACAGATTATTTAAATGAAGCGAAAAACATGTTTGAGAACAAATCGATCTCACGCATGCAAACCCCTTCTCTGAGCCAGTACGAGATGAGGAAAATCTATAAATAGCCCACCCGTCTTAAACTTAAATTTTTTTCCATAATACACGCATTACACTATTGTTTTCAATAAAAACAACAACAACAACAACAACAACAACAACAAAACCCTTTTAAGGCTAGTAAGTTGGACCATTACAAATTAATCCTGACTTTAATAACTGGTTAAAGACCCCTTCAGCTTTATAAGTAACAAAAAATATTAAAGCCTGTGATCACAGCGAGCTTTTCTCATTTCTCCTCTAACCATTTGTTATTTAATCCAATACTAGTAATCCAATTTGTCCATCAGACTTTTAAAGGGCAGAATGCAACTTCCCCCAGCTTAGACACTTTTCAAAGTACAATATATTTTTCAAATGAATGCTGGATGTTTCATTTTTTTTTTTCCCCCAACTGTTCCTAGCTCTAATGTATGAGGAAAAAAAAGAACAAGATGAACATTGTTCGCGCTGATTAAGTAAGAGCTCATTAAAGAGCTGTCAGTGCCGTACTTTGAATATGCATGAAGCATATAATCAGATCTAGTACCGTCACTAGAGGAGAATACGGTAAGTACAAAGGATTGATTTAATTACTTAGAGTGGGCTGTGGTGGTAAAGCAGTCTTGTTAGCGCAAAAAGAAAAGGAGGTTGTATTCTGGCACGGTTAGGGGAAAAAGGCAGTTTTAGCTTCTGCCACAATACCTAATCTCAGGATAAAGCACTTTACATTGTAGCTTAAAATGAAGACTGTCAGTTTTCTAAAAAGACCAGAATTCATCTTATCTTGTTTAACCTCACCTGGTTAACTATCTAGCAGAACATATTTATTCTCTTTAACACGTAATTACGCTCCTACCTTTTTATCCTATAGTTCAATAATGACTTCTGAAAACAGTCTTCAAATAAGGGCGGGCAGCGCCGCAAACATCATATGAATGCAAAATGCTGGCTAAGAGATGTGAAAAACGCAGAACCAGAAACTAAGAGGAAACAGTAAGTACACGCGCCTTTATGTAAAAAGACAATACAGCTTTTAATGTCGGACTTCTTATTATTGGATAGGTTCTGAGGAGGATTCTGGCAGGGTTTCTCTAATTTATTTTCTTTTTCCCCTCTTCCTTTCCGCTTTTATTCTCTCTCTTTCTCTTTTTTTTTTTTTTCCTTTTCTTTTTTTTTAATCAATACATTCTTGTTTTATTCTTCCTCTAGGAATCCAAGGGAATTCTCTCACATCCACTCTCAGTGCCATTTTCTAATTTCATTGTCTGGCTTGAGTGGTGAAGGATGCGTGCTCTATTCTTCCCTTCACTTGACATCTACCAGAACCCTCCTCGATGATTAGGAACGAGCCCAACACCAAGCCTGGAGTAGCAACAAATCCTGCCCTCGGAGATGAGAAACTCCTACTGACTCCTCAGGGGCATTTCTGTGCTGGT